GGCCACGGCCTCAGATCGTCCACGTTGCCCTATGTGAAGCTATCCGACCCGCCGTCCCATCCGACCCGCCCCATCCGAAATACGTAAGCGATGATGTCGCCTACGCGCTGCGTACGCCAGTACGCCCCGCGTACGGAGGCGGTTCAATGCCCCTATAAAAGGGGTGCGAGGGGTTCCGGAAAAATTGCTCATTCACTCTCCTTTTTCTTGAGTTTTATCTCGTTTTCCGTGCTCGCACTACCCCGAAGCCCTGGTCATTTTTGCTCAAGTCCCGAGGGTCGATTTTACTCCCGAGATTCCCGAGAATCCCGAGAAAAATCCGTTTCCCGAGACGAAACTCTGCCCGGTTTTCGATCTCGCTATCTTCAAACTTCCAAGTGAGTTCATACCCCTTTATTCAACCTTTGAAATGCTTTTAAATGTTTTAAATACTTTATGGGGGGGATACAAGTTAAACACTTATAGTTATTGCTTCGATCACATGTGATTGCATTAATCACATGTGAATAATAACTAGGAAACCAATGATTTTTTTTATCACTGTTCAAACTGTTTTACTTCAAAATGTTTCACAAACTCTTTTACTTATCAAATGCTTTTATTTAAACTATGTTTTACTACTTATAAATTGCATGCCCATATATGTATAGATATATAAGTAATGTTTAAAGGGCTTAGTAAGGCCATCCGCCCTATTTCCTTTTCGCGCACTGAGATGTGGTCTGGTGGGATTTCGGGTAACCATCCGAGGGTCGTTTCAATATTAGTTATATATCATATATACATGTATAGACATAAAAGTACTTCCATATTCATACTTATCAGCACATCATTAGTAAGTTACCATCAGGGTAACACAGGATCATACTACTACAATTTCTAGATCAACGAGTCAGTTCATTCAGGAGTCAATACATATTACTAAGAGAACATATACAATGATACTAGAATAAGTAACATTATATTGCATATACACGAATACGTTAACAATTGTGATCCACTGTATGGGAGCATGTCTTAATTGTCATGACCCGAGTTGTAGCCTGAAGAGCGTGAGTTTGCGTATAGATCTATACTGGATTGACTATCCTACACCTCGCTGCTAGCTACAGTGGGACCGACAGGTCTGCGGGTGCCAAACGTCATACCTTATTTTTCGACTATACGTTGTCGATGTTACCAGTCGATAGTATGGTGCAATTTATCACATGATACCTTAATATAAACCCGGTTTAAGGTAGTTAGTACAACAGTAGTTCCTATAAAACAAAACTACCGTACTACAATAATTTACCCATTACATTTTGGTGATAACCTCACTTAAACTTTAATGTACAAACTATATTTTGTTAAATGATAGTTACACTTGGGAAATTACACACTTTTACATCAAACGAGCATACAAAACAGTTAAGCCTTGGTAGAGGGCTACTTTAACAGAAAATATAGGTTTTTCTGAGAGATTCAAACTTTTACAAACACTTACATACATTCACAACTCATACTTGCGACAAGTTCAAACATTTTGATAATAAACCTCGACACTAAAATACTTATGAATTCACCAGCTTAATGCTGATAAACTCTTTCAAAATAACTTGTATTCTCAGGTCATCAGTAGACAGGTACCGATGCTAGCTTTTGAGAAGATGGAGCGCATTCAAGACTCATCATACTATTTTGATTTAAATTATATTTTTGGTGTCTAAAACTGTACGGAACACGCTTGTATTAAAATTTTATATTTAATGCAATGGATGATGTTGTTTGCTTATTTACATTTACTGTGTTGTGATACTTTACATGACGTCCTCCGCCCCATAACGTTTCCGCCATTCTTGGTTTTGGGGTGTGACAAGTACTATTGTTACAAGCTCCAGGTACGGTCGAATGATAATGTGATTTTGATGACAGGGAGATTGTTCCAGCAGTTTGTAGTAGATACTTATATAAAGATTGAGACTACATGCTTGGTTTTTGTTGAAAAGAACCGAACCAAAATTAGAGTCGATTTATACCAGGGCGTTGTTGATTTCTTCAATGCCGGTGAGGCTCAACCAAGTAGGGTTAGACAAAGAGTTGTGTTACCTGCAAGTTTCATTGGTGGTCCACATGACATGCGACGAAGATTTCTAGATGCCATGGCTTTAGTTCAAGATGATGGGAGGCCTGATATATTTCTTACAATGATGTGCAACACAAAATGGAAAGAAATCAATGATGATTTAATGTCTGGACAGTCAGCCTAAGATCGATCGGACCTTGTTGCAAGAGGTTTTCATCCTAAGTTAGAGGACCTGAAGGTATAGTTGTTCCAGAGACATATAATTGGTGTGGTGGGGTTACTTGTGTATGTGATAAAGTTTCAAAAGCGTGGATTACCACATGCGCCTTTCATATTAATAATGACACCTGGATATAAGATGAATAATCCAGACGATTTTGACAAACTTGTGTCTGCGGAAATTCCCGACCCAATAAGGTTTCTTGAAATGTAGGATCTTGTCAAAAGTCACATGATGCACAGTCCTTGTTGTAGCTTACGAGGAAAAAGTCCAAGTATGCAGGGTGTGCCAAAAATATGTCGTTTCAGATATCCTAGGAAATCAATGAAAAGATATCACAAGGAAAGGACTCATATCAATTATATAGATGGAGAAATAATGGAATTGAGGTGACTGTAAGAAATACAACATTGGATACCAGATGGGTGGCTCCATACAACCCAAAGTTGTTAGCGATTTTTGATTGTCATATCAACGTTGAGGTGTATTCGAGTATAAATTCTATGAAGTACCTCTACAAATATGTTTATAAGGGTCATGACAAACAACTTATCCATATTGATAAAGACGAAGAAAATATTGTTATTAATGAGATACGAAAGTTTCAAGATGCACGTTATGTGTCCCCTCCTGAGGCATTATGGTGAGTTTTTAGCTTTCCACTTTCACAAATCCATTATTTGCCGCCCGACGTTTAGCGCGGGTAAACGACTAGTGTGTGTGTGTGTGTGTGTGTGTGTGTATATATATATATATATATATATATATATATATATATATATATATATATATATATATATATATATATATAGGTAAAGGTTCAAATGAGAACCAAAAAATATTAAGAACCTAAGAACCAACTAATTAAGGGAAATTGTTGGTAAAACATAGAATGGCATAAGCTGTAATTCTCACGAAATAGAAGGTTTACTATGTATCATTTAAGCAAAAAAAAAACACAGTGGAAATTTCGTGAATATTCAAAACATATTACCCAATTCTTTAATATGTCGGAACAAATAAAAACCCTAATTAAATTCACGAATTTTTCGAAACAACAAAACTCCCTCATTCAATTCACTGCAACTCGATCTTCGTTCTGTTCTACTGATTTTGAAATAATCAAACGAGAATTCTACAGAAATCCATTCAATATGATGACAAAAAGGCGTAAAACAATAGAATTTGGAAAAAAATTGACAGATAATTCAACTGATGAAGGAATGACGACAAATATTTCAGCTGAAGAAGCTCAATTCACAACGATCAAAACTACATCTGAAAAAGAACAAACATTGAAGATGATGATTTCAACAAACTAATCTGAACTTACAAACAAAGAAACGGTCATCAAAAATTGTAAAACCCTAAATACGGTATAAGAACTAAATAAATTCAAAAAACTTGCAAAATTGAAAAAGTATTAGATGATTATTATGTTATAACGTAAATTTTTTTAAAAAATATCACTGTGTTAAACTGTGAATTTGAGATTTTATAGATTTGAATATAAAAGTAGTTTTAAATTGACAATGTAATAATAATTTTGAATTATGAATGTTGAAGTTTATAATGTGAATATATATTAATGATTTTATAGATTTATAAATTTAAGATAATGATATTCAATTGTGAATAATGATAATGGTGTAAAACTGTGATTATTTTTAAAAATCATAAAATTTCATTTTCCTATTAATTACATTTTCAGATAAGGGTAAAAGCATTTTGACAAAAAAATCAAAACAGAAAGATAAATATCTTCAACGGACAACAACACAAACAAGGTTGCAAACACCTAACAACATACATCAAAGAAATCAATGTACAATATAAAAAGTTTCTTAATATATTTTCATGATTAAACTATGAATTTTCTATTAACTTGTGAATTTTGAAGAAGATAAAGTTATTGACAAGAAGAAAAAGCAGAAAATGAAGAAAAATAAAAAAGAACAAGAAATTCAAGGTACATTTTAAAACTATATACAAATAATTCATCAATTATTTGATTTCTCATATAATAGTTCCTTATCATTACGTAATGAAATTTTTTACAGAGAAAAAAGGAAAGAAACAGAAAAAAAAGCAAATAATAAAAAAGAAAAATAAAAAAGCTAAAACAGATCATGGAGAAGATGATGAGAAGTTTCAATTTTTAAGAACAAGGGTTGCAACATAAAGCTAATGGAAAGCTGTAAAGATATTGAACACTAAACAGAGAGCGTGTGTAGAAAACTTAGACTTATGATCCGTTTTAAAGATAACATTGGATGTGATTCCTTCAAAAATAGGCTTCCTTCATGTGGTTAGCTACAACCATAGAACAAACTCCATTGACTTAGTCTACTCAAGCATCCAAAAATTACAAAGTCTACTCAAGCACTAGTAGATCTAGTAGAACAATCGCAAACTGTAGATGAGATGTTTGTGCTGAACTTCATTGTACTTTTTGTCAACTCAATCATAGAGAAAACAACATATGGAGCCATAGAAACAAGATCTTTTCTGAAGTTGATTGAAGTTGAGAACAAAGAAAATATCAACTAGTGCAAGTACATCAATCACGCATTAGTTAAAAGTAAAAGAATTTGGAAGCCAAATTGTAAAAACAGCTACTATACTGGACCATTACCATTTCTAATTGTAAGAATAATTTAAACTAAATTAATTTCTCATAAAATAAAATATTTAATACTAATGTTAATCAAACTTATGTTGTTTTCATGTATCTTACAGCTTCTATATGTGAATAGAACTCAATGTGTTCAACAACAGTTTATTAACAGAAGAATAGTACCACTTCACTTCTGGAACTATGGGAGACTGAAAACAAGACAAACAAATGAAATTGCAAATGGAAATTTTGGAATGGTACAAATTTTGGACAATATGGAGATGCTTCAAGAGGATGAAGAAGAAGATGTTGATTTGGATGAGGAAGATAATGAAAAGAATGTAGAGGAATTTTCAGATTCAGATGACAATGAGGATATTGGTTTGGAGGTAATACAAATTATAAAATATTAATAAACTATGAATATAATTTTAACATTTAGATATAAAAGATAACACATGAAAAGACATTATTAATTAAACTGTGAATTTCATGCTAAGTTGTGAATATAATAAAATAAAATATTACTATCTTTATTTTGATAATGAAATAACAAAATACATACACCATAGGGATTTTGCTTGATGATAAAAAAAAAGTTTAAAAATAATAATATAGAAAAATTAATCATTAATATGTGAATATAAAACTTAACACATGTTTATATAAAGTTTGAATTACATTTGAATTTCACAGTTTAATTGAAATATTTATAATAAACTAACAAAAAACATACACTACAGGGATTTTGCTTCATGATAGAAAAAGATTACAAAATGTCATTAGCTTTCAAGAAGAGAATGGAAAAGACATTAGTGAAGGCAAAAAAATCATCCGGATAACATAAAAATCAAAAGATGGATTGTGAAATATGACAATTTATTCAAGAAGCATATTGGTGAAACATCAAAGGTGAATGAAAATGAAGTTCAATCTAAAAAGGAAATAGAAGAATCAGAAGATCAAAATCCAACAAACAATACTGCATTTCAAAAAGCAATAGTTTTGTATATACCGAAAGATAATCAAGTACAGCACACTGAAGTTGAAAACACAGTGGATGCAGAACAACATCAAGAAATGGTTTTGTATAAAACAATAGCAACACAGGAAGAAAATGAAGAACAAGACAAAGTCGATACAACTCAAAAACCAACATCACTTACTGATTCTCAATCTACTCCAAAATCATCAACTTTCACACCAACATTAGAGTCACCAACAATTTATTCTATGGTTGACAAAGTTGTTGAAGAAAGCTTAAATAAAAATGCTTCAACTTGCACACCACTTATTCAAAAACTGTCTTCTCAACCATCTTTTTCACTTGGACTAACCCCAGATATCAAAGATGATGTAAACACTCCAAAACCTTCTACAAGATCAAGAAAGATGATGAACAGATAAACAGAGAAGAAAAAAAGATGGAGAACAAATTCAAACAAAAAAAGAATGTGGAAATAAAGGGAAAGGAAAAGAATTTTTTATTGAAGAGAAACATGGAGAAAAAAGCATCAGAAAAGAAAAAGAAGAAAGTTACTTCACTCATTAGAGTGGTCGAACAGTGGAAGCAAAAAATGTGTTATTTAATGAAGAGAAGCTAATTGCAAACTCAATATTTTCAATGCAAAGGAACCACAAGTAAGTAAATATTTTTAATAAAAAGTTAATTAAAATTAATTTATGAAACAAAAATTAATTTATTAGAAATATTCACAACTTAATATATATTAATAGGGAGATCATATTAAGAACAATAAATGGGGATGCAGTAGAAAGAATATTTTTTGAAACGTTAATCCCAGATGTGTACATACACCACAAAGTCATTGATTGCTGGTCTATTCTGTTAAATGATGAGGAGAGCAGAAAACAAAAGGGATCTCCATCAAGATTCTATTTTCCAACAGGAATTATAGTAAGTAACATTTATATTATGTATTTATATATGTTAATAGATTAAGAAAATTCTAACAGAATAAAAGTATGTAATATATGTAATTAGACTGAAGAGATGACAAATGAGGAGATACCAATGGATGACAGATATAAAATGTTTGATCAAAAAGCAACAGAAGCAATGAAATTCCATCCATATGTACAAGTTTTTGAAAAACTAGAATTTGTAAGTTACAAAAATCTTTTATATTATATATATATATATATATATATATATATATATATATATATATATATATATATATATATACTAACAGTTTTTTATTCTTACTTTTTACAATGCAGCTATTCTTTCCAATGAAGAAGCAAAAGCATTACTATTTGTTATGTATAAATATCAAAAAGCTATCAGTAGTTTTGATTGATAGTCATAAAGAAAGGCCAAATGTTAAAATTGAATATGAGCTATTAACACGATCTTTGGTAAGAATTACTATTTTAGATTTATTTGAAATTAAACTGTGAATTATAAAAATGACTGAATTTATTTTCTTTGTAATACAGGTGATGGAAAGAGGATTGAAGAAAGCATTTGATTTGCTTACTAATGAAATTTCAGTATTTAAAATCAAATGGTGGTTAAAAAACAATTTTGAGGAAAATGTAGTGGCATTAATGAGACATATGGAATGTTTTGAAGGACAGACTCAGAGCAGTTGGGATTGTGACATTAAGAATGATCAAAAGCAATAGAAACAAATATTCACTAAGCTAAGAGTAAAGTATCTCACAAAACTGCTGCTGGCTACAATGATTTATGTACCTTTTATTTTCAAAAGAATTTGATTTTTATTTTCTGTCTTTTTTTTTTTGTACAAAAAGACTACTTTTTTTTAGTTATGGGTATTGATGATTCTACTGTTTAGATATATGATAATTTCAACATTATATAACTATGAATATTAAAATTTATAATGAAATATCAATGTTTAATATAAAAAATTAAATCGTGTATAAACAAATGTGTTTTTTTAGATATAAGTTAAAGAATTTAATGAAAATGTATATATTATTATTTTTATGTATGTATTTACATATGTAAGTAGATACATACATTTAATTTTCAACTGTGAATTTACTTATGAACAATATATATATTAATATAAAACTGTGAATTTAAATATGTATGTATGTAGACACATACATTTATGTATTTATGAACAATGTATGAATTAATTTTAAATTGTGAAGTTACTTAGGTATGTATTTATGGATGTATGTAGATACATATATTTAAAGTGTTACTATACATTTGTATATATGTATGCATGTATCTACATACATAAATATGTTTATAAATATAAATATATATATATATATATATATATATATATATGTATATATTATTATTTTTACTGTAATACTTAAAATATTTGAAACAGTACTTAAAAAAATTAATTCAAAAGACAAATAAATAAATAAATAAATAAATAAAAGTACAAAAATGAAGGAATAATTAAAGTGATGCTAAATAATTGTTATAAAATATAATGTAAAACAAAAATAATCCAAATTATTATATTAATAAATGACCTGTGACACTTTTGTAAATAAAACGATTTTTTTTTATTATTTTAACAATTTAGGTAATTAAGAAAGTAACAAAAAAAACTCTCATTAAAAACTCTCATAGCTATATTCGCACATTAAATAAGACAGGGACTATATATGTAATAATAGAAAAACAAACGAAAGGCGGTGGCAGTTTTGTAATTATTAAGAACTTATCGTCATATAAATTCGTCAAAAAATGACTCGCCTCATTCATTTCATATCATACTCCTGATTTTCCCTTTTAAAAAAAACTGACATACACAAATCTATATTTCAAACACTGAATCTAAATAATCCACCGACTCTTTAAAAATCAAGCAGAAAATGTCTTCAAAATCTAAAGGATCTACATCAACTACAGGTTCTTCTGAAAAAACAACATAAGAAGAAGAAATAAAAATGAAAACCCTGGAGAAACAAGTAGAAGCAAAAAAAGTTTCAAGTCCCAAATCGAAGATTTCAACAACAAACTCAGAAAAAAAAGTTTCAAGTCCCAAATCAAAGATTTCAACAACAAACTCAGAACATCTGACAATCAACAATGTCGAAATGGAAAAACAAAGTGTTTCGAAAAGCATTTCTTCAAAAGGAAAACCTAAATGGACGATCAGAGTCAAAATGAACGAAGTAACACAAGGTATTTTATTTTGAAATTTATTACAATGTTTAACGAAAAATGCATAATGTCTTATAATGTTTATATATATATATATATATATATATATATATATATATATATATATATTATATATAAGACACTATTACAAAAACTTTTAAATCAAAGATCATCTTAATCCATGTTATTATATATATATTATATATATAATTATATATATATATATATATATATATTATATATATATATATATATATATATATATAATATGATAAGTTTAACAGTTAACATATCATTACAAACTCAAATATGATTTATTACAAATGAAAATGTTAAATTATTAAAAAATATGTATATAAATGATTTTAATACAGGTTTGATGGTAAATATTATATATGGTTCTAATATGTTTTAAGTTGGTACTATTAGATTTACCATAAATAATTTATTAAGCTGTGAATATAAACATAAATGTTATTTTGATATTTTAGAAAACGAAAATCCATATATATGTTTTTTTAGAATTTGAATGAAAAAATTATATGTTACTTAAATATATTATAGGATGATAAATATGAATGATGACTCCTATTAGTATTTGACTATATACAACAAACATTAAACTGTGAATTTTAATTGAAATATGTCATTTGCAGGAAAGAATACAAGATCTGTAATGACAAAGAATACTATCAGAAACCTTAAAGGAATTTCTACTGATCAGAAAGAAACAAAGAAACATTCTACAGTGGAAGGTAACACATGACTATAAAAAATATTTGAATTATAATAATATTCTACTATATAAAGTTTTTGGTTTGATTTTTAATTTAATAACAGAAATAGATGTGAATAAACAAATTCAAAACATATTATTTGATCTTCAAAGAACTGAAGAAATGGATAAAAAGGTAAAGAGAAAATTAAACTATGAAAATATACCTAATATATTAAACTGTGAATACACATTAAGCATTTACATTTAAAGTGCGAATATACTTATGTATATGCATACACATACCTATATATGTATATATGTACAAATTTATGTATTTACACAAATTTGTACATATATATATATATATATATATATATGTATATATACACACACATATAAAGTGTGACTATACATGCATACATATGTATAGTAACACTTTAAATGTATGTATCTACATACATACTTAAATACATCCATAAGTAAATTCACAGTTTAAAGTCTATGTATATATATATGTAAATATACATATATAATATATATATATATATATATATATATATATATAGATATATATATATATATATATGCATATATACATATGTATGTATACATGTGTGTATATATATATATATATATATATATATATATATATTGTAGAATCGAAAAATGGATCATCTGATAGTGATAAGGACATGAATTTGCAATTGGTTATGGTAAACAAAAAAGAAGGAGATGCAAATAATGAAAACATTCATGCAAAAGAAGCAAGGAAAAGAAAACAGATAGAAAGAAAGAGAAGCGGAAAGGAAATGCAACTAACAGGAAGAAGAACAATGTCTCAAACATCTGCCAAGAAAGATGAAGAAATACAAGGTATAACAAATCATAAAAAATATTTGTTGATAAAATATCTTATTAAATGTT